CCACTTCTAACCAGACCAAACCTTCATTTGTGTCAGAAGGAGAAGCAGAAAAGTGGGCTAAGGGTGAAGACATTGTTGAGACATAAAATTAAATGAACGTGTTGCACATGCAGACTACAAAGCAATATTAGGTGCCGGTTAATGAAACATTCAAGATAGAGGAGTTCATGGCAGAGACATTTAACACATTTCAACATGTTTTTCTTACAGCACATAGTGAAAGTATCAATGATAATTCTGAGGAAACTTCCAAGTCCATGATGTTCCACATCCTTGTACCTGGATGTCCAGAACCTCTACTTGAGTGACCAGCCATTCTCTTTAATTTTTCACTGGATAGCCCAAAGGTTTAAAAATGACAGATTGAATCCAGGAGGCAATCAAGGTATTATAAATATCCCTCTCCAACTTCTTCCATGGCTTAGTTCTATAAAAATTAAATTTTATAGACTTAACTTTATGCACATTAGTCAGTCATCATTCTAATTTGTTTTCAAAATTTGGACCAAGCAAGATGCAAAGACATAAACCAAAGTAAGTATATTTTACTGAAGAAACAAATCTCAATTTAAGAATGGAAACCTGAGTCTAAAAAAAAAAAAGAAAAAATATCTCTATGTTATAAACACAGAATTATAAACACTTGTATCATTCTATTCTGTTGGAATCTGGCATTAAAAAAAAAAAAAAAGGAAAAAATCCAAAACACCACTCACAAAAGACCCCAGGCTTTAGACAGCATTTCTGTAAGCACGTGAAGAACCATACAGATGCCCCTGTTCTTCCACTAAGTTAAGAATAAGACTCTTGGGCAATTATCTTTATAAAATATGAATTATGGAGTAATAAATATAAATTATTATGGAGTATAGCAGCGTATTTTCTTTGAAAAGATTAGGAAACCAAAGGGAACCACAGAAACTGGAAGAATACATCTTACAGTCTTTACCATAAAAAACACCAAACAACAAAACCCAAACCCTTTCTTTACAATTCTTTACAAAAACTATCCAGGATTAATATAACGGCCTTTGAATCGAAGGGTTAAAATAAAAAAAAAAAAGACACTTCAGCCTGAGTTACAGAAAGTAACACATTATTTCATATATTTATGTTTTTTCTTTCTTAGAAAGAGTTAAAATTTAAAAAACCCCAAACTAATACTCAAACTGGTTTTGGTCTTCATTCATCCCCATAACCAAGAAGAACTGCTTTCAAAGTGAAACTCACGAACTGATAATATAAGCCCACATAAGCATGGTAAGAAGTGGTGAAAATGGTGACAAAAATGGAACTGCCCAATCAGGTAGCCATACCATGCTAAATCAGTCTCATGGGAAATAACTATTTTATTTCAAGAGAAGTCTAAACATTACAATTGAAATCAAACAGTAATCGAGGGAGTCAAAATCTTTATCTATTCAACAGCGCTACCGCAACTAAATGGGGCAGAGGGCTTGCCTACATTCATTTAACAAGACAAAGCCTTTCTTCTCCTGCAAACATCTTTTCCGAGAATGAGCATGTGCAAGCTTTTAATATTTGAAGGTGCTACAGTAGAACATGAGAAAAATAGGTAAGAGTATGAAGCTTATCCTAAACAGTTGAACCACACAAAAGCATTCTTTTAACTCCTATTATATCACCACAGATTTTCTGAATGTGCAATCTTTGTACATCTACTTGCAAACATCTTTTTCTACTATAGGTAAACCAGGGGAAAAAAACTTGATTTACAGAAGCTTGGATTCTACTGTTTACTATCCTTTGTTTGCTGATACACTAGGTTGTTTTTTTTCCATTTTCTGCATAGCCAGACTACTCTGAACTAAATGCACAAGAATGATATATTGATGACTTTCTGTAGCTGCAGTCCCAAAATCGTACTAACCACTGCAGCCATTTAAGTAGAATTTCTCAGGATATTGTTGCTTGTTAAAAAGGACTGAAGTATAAAAAACGGCTCGGCTCCAAAGATTCTATCACAACAGACACTGGTGCTCCCTACACATGCATTTTTTTGTAATACTACTAAAGCCACTGTTTCTCTGTACTCAGTTCTCAAGTACAGAGGTATAACACTCCTCCTGAGAAGAATAACTTCCTTCAAAGAACAATTAGAGTGAGGTGGACAAAAAGTGGGAATAGAACTACTGATAACAGCAGCCCTCAAAGGAGCAGATTAAGAAGCCTCTCTTCCCATTACCAAAAGGAATTCAGTAAACAGAACCTCACAAATACCAGTGAAAAAGAATGAATCTGCAAGATAACTGCAGACTAGCTTCAACAAGTTTGCATTTCCACCCTGGATAATTTTTTTTTTTTTAATAAATGGATACAAAACTAACTCAACAAATATTTGGGGTTGGTTGGCTGGCTGGGTTTTAGGTGGTGTGTTCCCCTCCGGCCCCTTTCTTGGGGAGGGGGCACAGGGAAGAGAGGAAGAACGCGCTTCTTGCACATGAGTTTTAAAATTACACAAATACCTCAAGAGAACTTAATCATCAAACCTCCTTTGATTTCAACAAATAAAAAGAACAGACCCTATCATACCTTATACATACAAAAAATAAAATAATAAATTTTAATTCTTCTGTTTAGGTGTGCCCAAGCAGTACAGAAAACTACTAAGTTATCAGCTACTAAACCATTCTTTCAAATATAAAATAAACTCACACTGGTAGAAGCATTTCTCAAAATTAAATTAACTTAAAAATATATTTATCATTAATATGCAAATTAAATCTTTAAATTTGTAGTGAAAACTAAAGATTATGGAAGTGGACAACATTAAACCACAGTACATGCCACATTTCAATATACAGTAGTTTAGTAATAGCTAAAGTACAGAAAAGAAAAAAGCATATGACTTCCTAGCATTAAACATCAAACAGTAGTATCTCCTTTTTAAGTCAATATTAAATTAGCAGAGAAACCACTTGCTTTTATGGTAGTCTGACCCAGAGAAAAATCCCAGAAAGTAACAAGTCTTCAAACACAGCATATGTACTAACAAAATCCTCACAAACAAAATGTAAAAGGAGATATGCATTCAATATTTAGAAAGTTACCCTAATGCAGTTGGATACAGGCTTACTATCTGCTTTTCTTTACTACAAAGACTTAATTCTGGAAGACAAATTCCTCAAGAGGGAATCTAGTCTTCCAGTTTCTGCATCAATGAAATAATTTCAGTCTGCATAGTGGTGTTCATTTTTTAGTTCATATTAAATGTTAAATACAAACAAGCACAATAATATACTGGGAACTTCAGTTAATATTATAAGGTAGTTATTAGAAAAACCATATTTTTGTATTCATAATTTTTATCAGTCATGTAACTTTTCAAAATTTACCATCTCCTTTGTACTGCAGAAAATATTCTTAAACTTAAATGAGATTAAATCATATTTTTAAGCAAGTATTCAAAAACAATAAAAATAACTTCTGATCTGTGACCTTTTAATGTCACATTTGAAGTATAAGGTTTAAATGCATGATAAGACAAGCTTATAATAGAAACACTGTCATGTACTGGCAGAATTCCCAGCTATATCAACTTGCATAAACCAGAGATGTAACAAAGCAGCAGCATGTTTCTGGCTACCACCTTGGCAATCCGAATCCAACTAATATGACCCACAAAAGACTGATATCCACTTTCTATACACTGCGTAATAGACAGAGGAAGATGAGGATTATAACTATACAAAGTGTTATCTTATTCACCATTTATAATTAACACGCAATCTGTAGCTCTGAAGTCACTCAGAGCACTGGAGATTCTTTGGAGTGCCTCTCACATTCACACCACTGCAAACTGGTTCAGTAATTTTGATTGCATGGGTTTTCTTTAACCGTGAAGGGATTAAACAAATGAACCCCCCAAAAAGACTTGCTTACTTCTGCAAATATAAGTGGGGAAAAGTAAACTGATGATAAACTGATTTGATGGAGTATGAGTTTCAAATAGCAAGCCATGACATCCTAATTAGGGACATGGTTTAGTGGTGGACTTGGCAGTGCTAGGTTAACGGTTGGACTCGATGATCTTAAAGGCCTTTTCCAACCTAAACGATTCTATGCTTCTATGAGTCTAATACATTATTGATATACTATTGATAACTTTGACTAGTTTGAGACATTCCACTTTGCCCTCTACTCAAGCTGTTATTTCCTATGCTGTTTTTTTTTGTTGTTTTATTTGTTTAACTTGCTAGGTTTGTGTGCTCAGAATACGTTTACATTTGAACAAATCAATTAAAGAAAAGTAAACTTTCTAACATCAGGTATGCAAGAATTAGATATCCAATGCTTGATTGTGAAGCTAGAAGATGTAGGTAGAAGGGCAGTATTACGAAACATGTCGAGTGATTGAAATTTCTCTTTGAAGCTACATTGTGAGCAGAAAGACATTCCCCCAAATTACAAGGAACAGAAACCTAAACCCAGTGTTTCAACATCAAAGAAGAAAAATCCATGTCATGTAGGATTTCTGAAGGGCAAAGAAAGTGAACAGACTTGTGGAGAACTCAGAATAGAGGAAAGACAGTACAAAAATACACTAAACAAATAGTCATCTAAGTAGTACAAAGGCCTGCTGGAAGTCATTTTAAAATGGACCTAGCTTAACATGTTAACATAAACAATGTTTTAACTCTTGAAGCATCTTAAGACCTGCATCTGAGAAATTTATTAATAATCACAACCATCTTTTCAACAGTCAATACAGCAGCACCCACAACCTAACTTCAAAATCATCCTGTAAGTGATTAAATGCTTTCCACTTACATTGGTATATTAGAAGAAAAAGAACACAGCTTGCTACAAGTTGCACACACAATCCTACAACTTGCATTAAGAAAAAAAACCCCACCACAATTAAATCAATTTAAGTTCTTCAATTAGGAAAAAACAGAAATAGTTTTGACAATAAACAAAAATGAAACATGAATATGACAACCGAATTATATAATTATTCCACCTGTGTTTGTACTTGCCTAGCAATACTTTAGCATCTTCCACATCAAAATCTCCATCTCCATCAGCATCATATATCCCAAGCTTGCCTAGAAATGGAAAGAGAGGAAGAAGAAAGAATCAGGGATCCAGCAGTTTGTTTCCAGCACAGTGCTTTCAACGTGCCATTGCTGACTGTCAGTGCTAGGTTGTTTCCCCCCCCCTTTTTTTTTTTTCCAAATGTTTTAGCCATACTCTTCTTAACCATATTTTACATTTCCTGGAAAATATTACAAATATTTTAAGTTCCCTTCTGCATTTGCTAGACTTTAGACTGAACACAAGTTAGTCTTTTTTCCCCACACATTTTGGTGTTTGCAGATTTAAAACAAACCTGTAATTAAGTGATGCGCTTTATGTGAACATGCTTTGCTCACAATAAAATTTAAGTTCACAAGGAACATTCAACATGTTTGAGGGAAAAGAAATAATAAAACAAGAATTAATCAACTAATCACCATTTGTTTTCTGATTATATGCTTCTTGCCATTCTAAATTCTCAGGAAAAAAAGATAGGTATACAATTATTAGTGCCAAGTTAATAGAAGGTAAGCAACCTACTTCCTGGACAAAGGAAAAACGTTCATCATTTTATCAATAACTGTATAACATTCACTGCAGACAAAGAAGTTGTCCATCATTTTATAGGTGACTATAGGTGAATACATCAGACTTCTCACTTTTATTTTTGGAACTGCAGCTCTGCCAGCTCTAAGTATAAGCAAAAGGAGAACCCACTTACTTACTATTCAAAAAGAATTTTTAGCTTAGAATCATGGTATCCAGGATTAGAAGTGTCCTGGGATCACTGAGTAGAGAGCTATCTAATTAGTTTTGATAAAATTCAGACATAACTTTTAATAGGATTGAAATTCTGCACGCTGTTTGCAGAAGAACTCTAAGTCCTTGTAGTTTGCCAGTTTATTATTACATTTGTCATTCTCTAAATGGAGGCAGAACTTGACTGCCATTAAAATAAATGAAATATAGTTCTTAATATGGTACTTAGAAAATTAGAAAACAGTTACGTGGAAAAAAGTTCAGACTTGGATCTGGAACAAACAAAAATAAGGCCATCACCATCGTACAGAAGCAATCAATTAGAAAGGATCTTTACTGGTTTATGGTTAAACACAACAGACCGGTGGAATAAATGTAATTCTCTAGAAATAAGAAGAATTGTATCATCTTCAAAACCACGAAGAATGAGACAGGTGAGAAATGACTGAGTTTTGTGTCATTGTAGAATAGTAATTATCTAAAAAATTAAAACCAAAAAAGTAAACCAAAATTTTTAGTCAAGGGACTGTAAAGCAATCTTATTTCTCTAATATCCTACCTTGTAGGACCTCTGACAAGTTATAACGGAAATCCTTTGCTTTGGCTGCATGCATGGTAAAAATATAGAAACCATTATTTGCATCACTAGACCAAATTAAGTTTCAAACCAGAAGCTTCTCTTAAAATCAGTCCAGATCAAAAAAGCATGTACCAACAGACTTGTAAAGCTGTAAAGCTTGCAAAAGTATGTGTTGAAGCCTACAAGACGTGGGACAATAGCTCTACCTATGGACATACATCTTGAAACTTGAGACATTAATTTTCACCCTTACATATTATATTAACAATACTATCTTAACATTGTCATATTGAGATACAATTATCACCATTATAAGCTTAAAACTGAGGTCATGCAACAGCTCATTCACGAGAGGATGACTGATCAGCTGTCCTGACTCTATAGGCAACACAGTCCATCAGAGGAGTGGTAACATTAGCTGCCCGCTTTCAACCACTGCTGCAAGTTCCTGAGAGCTTAAACTGAAACAATGCATATTTAGCTGACATTTCAAATGAACTACAGCATACATGTTACAAAGAGATCCAGACCTATCCTTGGAGATTTCTTCAATTCTTTAATAAATGCAGTATGTTAATAACCTTTTCCATTCTTATGAGAATCCCATTTTAACATCATAATAGAGTTCAGCATTAAAATGGACTCTTTGAACTACATTGCCTATTCTTATCATGTAGGTCATTTGCAAATACCACAGTAGTCAATTCAGCTATCTAGAAATTTAAAACAGCCTCCATTTACTGTATATCATAATAATTATTAGAAGCATCTTAAGATTTAAAATTCTTACCTAGAACTTCTTCATAATCTACAAGTTCAAACCAGACAACTGCTACTGATGTCCAAACTCCCAGCAAAGCAATTACCATAAACCAGGTGAAAAATGAGCTTCCAGAGAGGCCTTCTTTCTTTCCATTCTTGCTTCCTCCATGTTTAGTCTCTGTTAAAGTAAGGCAAACAAGTAGGGAAAATGGATTCATATAAGAGTTAGAAAATTATGATTGAGGATATAATTGTAAATCTTGTTTCTTATGACTACACAGAATGCAAGACATTGGAGTAAAACTTTTTTTATTAGGGGGTTGTTCTGGTTTGTTTGTTTTGTTGTTTTTTGTTGTTTGTTTTTTTTTTTTTTTAACTTCACCACTGTTACTTGCTTTTCATATCACTGTGAATTACGGTGGGAAGCTCAATGATTACCTAAGTAGAAGTCCTGTAACCAACCAAACACCAAAAACCCACATGTAATTTGTCTTAACAACTTAGTTGGAAATCCCCCCTTCCTCCCCTTTAGTGTATATTTATACAGAGCTTAACATTTTTGGGATGCTTTGCATTTGTGCCAACAGTTCTCCAACTGCCACCAGAGGGCAATATGACCAGCAGAAACAGTTTGGAAGAAAAGCGTTTCTTCTGTAGCAAGTTTCAAAGCTAGTTGAAATAGCTCACAGAATCAACATGAAAATCAAATAGCCTAAGAAGCCTAAAATCTAAACCATATTAAGGGTAAGACTCCAAGATTAGACACTCTACCAACTAAAAATATCTTCCCTGTTGCTTAGAGTCAAGCAGAGAGATTCACTACATGCTGAATACCTTTAGACTTCTAGTCCCATGGAATATACAGGTAAAACAATGACACAGAGACTTAATGCAAATCACACCTTCATTTATAACCGCATGTATGGAAAGTAAGTGTATATAAAAAAAATAGAGTAGTTAAAAACAAACTTCTGGGAAAAGAAAGTCCTCAAGCTAGCATATGGGTAGGGGGTTTCAAATGGGCATCACCACTAGAGAAGACAAATTGCTTGGTCCATTGCTTTAGGACCATTTTAGGAAGAGAGTGATACATGTAGTAAATAAATGTGCATCCAAGAAGATGCCTGGGGCCTTTCTCCAAAGCTGAAGGTCTGCTCTTCTGCCTCCTGATACTACTTCTGCAAGGCTGGCACTTGGCCACAGTTTCATGTCTACCAGCCCATTCCACTTCACTCCCTTCTAAGCACCAGCCTTTGCCTGTTCAGCCACATTCAGTCCTAGTTATTAAAGTAAAACTATTTCTTACAGATTTTGAAATACTCGAGGAACTTTGTCACGAATATTGTGATAATATAATAAGGTGGGGAGTTAACTTTATCATACTAACTGCAAGTAATGTTTGATGTATTTATCAACACTGATAATAGAAAAAGAGAAAAAATACTCTCAACAGCTAAATATCAACATGATTTTTTTTTAGAATAAAATGGAGTGGCTCTGAAAGATGAGTAATGAGAGATTGGTGACTTATTTCTGTAATAGATATTATATAGAAGTACGTTCAGACCCTGCTTGCCATCAGGTTCACAGCTGTAATAAACTAACCTTTTATTACATTCATTGTGCTATATACTGAGCTCAGACCAATTAAAAAAAAAACCTGACTCACCTCAGCTCTTACTCAGCTCAGCATTTTATTGAAAAAAATATTATTTTATTAAGACTACTCTGTACAAAGATCAAATACCAACTATTTAGTTTCTTTTCTATATTAAACAAAAAGTTGCCTTGGTATAGGCTGTCCAATAATATTCAGAGAGAAACTGAGACAACTTAGCATCACATCAGGCACGAATCACTTGCTACTGCACAGTACCCTAATTATGTATGTGCAAGGTCCGTATACATAACTCATCATAACATCACTCTTGTGGGAAAGATGTACAGGTAGCCTGAAAATAGAGGCAAAGACAAGTCGCATGTGCCAGTACATTCAGAAATATGATCAACTGTATGTGAAAATTATTTAATGTACTCTTGAGCTGGAAATGTCAATATTCAGAAATAAACAATTATACTATGTAACAGCAAAACTTCGCTACTCCTGTTTTCCACTGTAGTCAAGGGAAGCTTTGTACGTATTGAAAATGAAACCTTAAGGCTAAAAACATTTTAAATGATTCCAGGTTACAACTTGGTTCTAGAGAAAACCAGGTATTGGAAGAGGCAAACAGGAAAGAGAATCTTACTGTATTTCACACTTACTCATTTACCTCACTGTTTTCTACTGCTTACTGCTAAGTTCCCTCTGAAGAAAGGGGCTTTACTTATGAGAAGAACAGGAAAATGAAAAATAGAAAAAAAAAAAGAGAAAAACATTCAAGTAATCAAGCATAGCTGTTCATATTTTTTTCCAGTCTAAAAGACTGTTTCATGCAAATCCCTCAAAACCAGATTCTGCTATAAAAATATCATTCACAACAGTCACAAAGACACATTCTTATGCTGTGGCCTCCTATCTCACAGAAAAATTATTTTCAAAACTCTTGAAAAATTCTGCTAAGAATTCAACCATGGCAGCTTGATCAGGCAACACTTTAATATAAATGGAAGTTACGTAACGTAAGATTTACCTATGGTCTGCACAGATAACCCTACACATAGGGTCAGGACAAAACATTGCAAGGACTGATGCTGGCTCAGAGCTCATTCCAAAGAGTTAATTCTCAATTCAAGACCTTTCCCTGCACATGCTGCCAGACATGTCAGAAGTAGGTCACTTGCCATATCTGGTAAGCCTGTGCTTACACCACCAGATGTCTTTATGCAGACATCAGAAAGTCTTAAATCACGATCTATTTCTCAACAGCAAATCTTTAAAAGTCCTATACTTCACCCACCCCGCATTAAGAGTCATGCCTAGATAAAAATGTATGAAAACCTTTTTCCTTTTACTTTAGCTTACATTAAAGACACCTAGTAATTTCACATACTCCAAAAATAACTTTAAAGTCAGATATTTGAAGACAAAACAATGTCTCTTATGTTAATGTGTGCTCTACTGAAGCAAAAACTGAGTTACAATTAACCACCTGCCATAAACTCATGAAATACCTCTACTCCAGAGAACATTTAATCAAGGAGAACAGAGGCAGCCTGTAATGCAGACTAGAAAAGCAAACTGGCTAGAAAACACCAACATACCACAGTAAGCCAGTTATTTTGCTGATTACAAAATCAGACATAGCTAGTATTTGCAACTATGCATTTTCTATCTGCTCACAAAAAGGTTAGGATTATACCTGTGTCGTCAGCCATAACATTAGTGCTCGATTTCCACAGACAGAGCAAGTGTGTCGATATCTCCAAAATTAACGTTGAAGGCAGAATAAGAAACAATTTATCCTCACTGTAGTCTTACAACAGGAGCAAACAAGTTTCCTAAAGCCAGCTCAGCTGGAACACGAAACTGGACCCAAGAGAAACCTCTCCTCCAAATCTATTTTTAGAGCAGTTATCCTCAGGAGCCAAACGCTTTTCAGAACTCATATGGCAATCTAGTTCTGACGACAATCAAATTCACTTACTCCTCCTAACAGAGCATCCTGGGTAGTTGATCCTTTCCCCTCCCCTTAATCCTCCAACATCAAACACAGCAGCGAATGAAACTGAGCATGTTGTACTGTAGTATTTTTGCTGCAATGTATGCCTCAGTGCCTGAGCTCTAAGGACATTAAATCCATCAGCATAAGCTGAAACACAAGTCTGGACACAAAGCTTGCCTGCTTGCATTTGTTAAGTTGGCCCTCGCCCAAGGAACTTTCTCCATGTTGGCACTCCTCTACCAGGCTTCCCAGTAGAGACTGCTCATTTGAAACTTGCTAACTACTTTAAGAATAAAAGACAGCTAATTTCTAAAATGTAGTGTTGAGTCTTATAAGAGTTACTTGAAATCAACCACACACATTCTTGCCAAAGAATTTTCAGATCAGAACTGTTCCCCTGGTACACCTCATATTTGCTTCTAGCAGACCCAAAGGAGGGTTACTGATAGTTTTGCCAAAGCAAAGCCTGTTTCCCTAGAGTGCAATACACCACATGCCATAAAGGTAAACCAGGCAAAATTTCTATTGCATATTTGTTAAAAGCAGCAGAGGTGTTGTTAAAAGTAGCAGAGGGATCTGGACAGGCTGGATTGATGGGCCCAGGCCAACTGTATGAGGTCCAACAAGGCCAAGCGCCGGGTCCTGCACTTGGGCCACAACAACCCCATGCAGCGCTACAGGCTTGGGGAAGAGTGGCTGGAAAGCTGCCCAACAGAAAAGGACCTGGGGGTGCTGGTCGACAGCCGGCTGAACATGAGCCGGCAGTGTGCCCAGGTGGCCAAGAAGGCTAATGGCATCCTGGCCTGTATCAGAAACAGTGTGGCCAGCAGGAGCAGGGAAGTGATCGTGCCCCTGTACTCGGCACTGGTGAGGCCCCACCTCAAATACTGTGTTCAGTTTTGGGCCCCTCACTACAAGAAGGACATTGAGGTGCTGGAGCGTGTCCAGAGAAGGGCAACGAGGCTGGTGAAGGGTCTGGAGAACAAGTCTTCTGAGGAGCGGCTGAGGGAACTGGGGTTGTTTAGCCTGGAGAAAAGGAGGCTGAGGGGAGACCTCATCACTCTCTACAACTACCTGAAAGGAGGTTGTAGCGAGGTGGGTGTTGGTCTCTTGTCCCAAGTAACAAGCGATAGGACGAGAGGAAATGGCCTCAAGTTGTGCCAGGGGAGGTTTAGATTGGATGTGAGGAAAAATTTCTTTACTGAAAGAGTGGTTAAACACTGGAACAGGCTGCCCAGGGAAGTGGCTGAGTCACCATCCCTGGAAGTATTTAAGACATGTAGACATGGCACTTAGGGACATGGTTTAGTGGTGGACTTGGCAGTGCTAGGTTAACGGTTGGACTCTATGATCTTAAAGGTCTTTTCCAACCTAAACGATTCTATGATTCTATGATTTTGCTTTGTTGCCCTCCCTTTCCAGAAAGGACTAACACTAACTCATCTCACTCACCCCTCCTTTAAATTCTGACAATAGTCATGCTACCTGTACAATTTAAAGCTAACACAAATGATTAATGATCAAGATACTCTCTTCTTCTTAAGGACCAGAAAAGGAAGAAAAAAACCCCACTAAGACACTATTCCACTAAGCCAGCTCCTTTTGGGTGGGAGGAAGACAGAAACAAACTCATGTCTCATTAACAGCAACCCTAATAAAAACTTTAGGATCTAGCACTCTGCCCTTCCTCCCCCACGCTTCTTTAAATAACATAGCCATCAGGTAGATGGAGTGAACAGTAGAATGTTACAGCTACTTTGAAAAACAACATATACCTCCTGTGGTTTTAATATCCAGCAACTAATTCCCAAATGCACTTCCCAATAGCTCAAGGGAGAAAAAAGTGAGAAATAACACCCAACTGAGTTTAAGACTTTTCAGATGGATATAAAGAAACTACAGGCAGTTGATTCTGCGACTAGTGTATCTTTCAGCTATTTTTAAAGCCAGTTGAATTCATCAAACAGAAAAAGTGCTTTAAGAAAGACCTCCTGACTAGTACCTTTCAGCAACTTAAGTGATGCAGAAGCAATTCAGAGCAAGATAGGAGGAAAATTTAAACAAAGGGTAAAAGTCACCAAATATACAGAGAAATCAACAGCTTACTAAGGGAAATACTTGTACGTGCAATAATACATTGTCTATTGCATATAAAACCCATTTTGTTTCGACAGGCATTCTATTAGGCAATTTGTTGCAACTTCACTTCAGCTGCACCTGCATTTGCAGATACTGGATCTTACTACAAGCGGATTCATAGAGCATACAATTGATGCTGAGAACTTGAAGTCCATATTATACATATTTTGGGGAGATTGCTCCGAACTAGATCTTACCTGGCTGAATGCCCGTAAGTGGTTACAGCATACCTTTCTGTTTCATTTCATTCAAACCTGAGTAAGTCTATTCAGGGACAACAGCACAACAAATAAAAGGAAAGTGAGTGGAGACACTCAAGAAGTTAATTTCAAATGTACGCTCCCAATCTGAACTAACACACATATGTTGACCTTTAATCAAGAACCCATAGCCTTATCTTGTGCCTTTTAAAAATCAATTGATTGCACGAACATGTATTCCCAAGAAATTACAAACATCTTCCTTCCTGAAAGGGAAGGCTACAGCTAAAATGCAGAAACTCTTCAGACTCATCAAAAGGAAGATGGACCAAAGGGCCACAAAACTGATCATACACCCCATGAACAACATACATTAACGCACACCTTGAAGAATACAGCTTACACATGTATCTCTCTGAATGCTATAGTTCAAAATACCAGACAACATAATTTTGGTTAGTTTTGTGAAAGACAAAGGTTAAGTTCAATAGATATGTATTTAAAATACAATTCAAGATTAGGATAGCTAAGTCAACAGAGCAGACTTCTTGCGAGGTCTCATTCTACTGTGTTCAAATGCTCTGACTACAGGTTTGTCTGTTAGTTCTTTTTTGAAGCAACTCAAATTGCTTCACTAACACTCAAAATTATTATTCTTCACCTCACTTGTTTAACTCTTTCACATTTAAAAACTATTTTCAAGTTAGTTTTGCTACAACTATGCACTCCATGCTATTTTAGTTAATTTTAGAAAAGCATAATTGACAATCAAGACTAGCAGCATTAATTCCACCTGTAGATCACTACCAAAGTGCAAGCAAAGAAGCTTAGAGGGGAAAAAAACCGTCAACTACGAACACAAAAATAAAGGCAGGCTTCAAAGCATCAAGCTAAGCTTTTGTAATGTGTATAATTATTTCCCACAAAGGTGCTTTAGGAAGTAATATGGAAGCAATTATGGATTATCACATGAAGAGAAGGGCGCACACCAGCAGGCAGTTACTAGAAATTAGAAAAACACAGTTAAAAGGAAAACAACAAAACACTAACTTCAGAGATATCTAAAAATAGCATTTCAGAAGTAAAAATTATCAATCAGCTAGACCATAGGGAGACTTTAAAACAAGCTCATTTTAAAAGCAAAATGCAGAGTGATAAAAAACAGTTATGGGAGAGAAGTAAAAAACTAAAGGTTACAACAGAACCGTCCTACCACCAATATAGCTGAACTAGTAGCAGTGTAGACAGAAAGCAACCTCTCTTGCATGAGCATGGCCTTCTACCACTTGACATTTTTGCCAAATTATCTTCTCCAATACGATTAACAATAAAACAACTGTTGCAAGCCATTCTCACTAATAAAATTGCAGTTAATTATTTTAAACAGTTTTTACACAAAGGTTTTTTGGGTGGGGTCAGTAACAAGCATTTTGAGTAGAATATCTATTAAAAGCAAGTTCACGGCATTCTCTGTTGATACTATTTTCCCCCTGCCTATTAAAATACAAGCTCCCCCCCCCCCCCCCCACGCCAAGTCTCACATGTGTGTATATATACACAGACTTTTTTCGATATGTGTTTTAAAATCTAGACCCAAGAAGCATGTGTGCTGAACTGTTCCATTCTGTGTCCACACATGTCCACACACCATAATGATTGCAAGTGCTATCCAGAGGTAAAGCAGATTTTCATCTTTAATTTTCATTCAGCGTACCAAGGGTGGAATAATACACTTTTAATGGACAAATCTGAGCTTTTGATGTGCTTTTACAAAATCTATTTCATTTTGTAAGGGATACAGGGTTAGTGTTATCTCTCTGTTTACTTTACAGGTAGAACAGAGATTATTACTAAAATACTTACGGTATCACTTATAAAACATTCCAACCTTAAATTTTCACAAATATCCATACTCAGAAATTTTTGTTTGTTTTACAAACAAATGTGACAGCAGGGTCTTTAGAGATAAGATCTAAAGTTTAGGGTAAAGATTTACTTTTAATAAATTCAATATAAACTCTTTGTGATACAAAATTGATTCTTCCTTTTGGTATCTAAGAAATCTTCTTCAGCACTGCAACCTTAATGGAAATTAGGGGGGAAAAAAGTGGCTTTTTAATTATTATTCTCATTAAAAACTAGATCTCTGCTCTGCACTTTATATAATCTAGTCTACATGGTTATAAACATACCTGTGCACATTATCAAAGGACTTTAATAAACTAAATTTTCAGAAACTTACTAGATAGGAACAGGCAAATGGCTGGAAAAGAAAGAGCTGTAAGTTCAAAGAAAACACAAAGGCCTGGACTTAAAGTTGAAATAATAAATTAGCCAAATGAAAGGCAATTTTGGTTCTCATGCTGCCACTTCACAGATTTTTACTCTAGTGTTTGAGGAACTTTTCCTTATTCCACATAGAATCAATCCTCACATAAACCTTTAATGTCCTTAATTTTCAATCCCTACAAGATTTCTCATAGTAAAGTATCCTACTGTACAAACAATCAAAGAAGAACATAAATACCAAAAACAAAGGCAAAGTCATAAATTCAGGATTCGACAGCTAAGCAGGCTGATAGTTGAGATGCTGAGGGTGGCCAACTGGAGGAGGGAAAAAAAAGAAAAAAGTAGAAAAGAAGAGAGATGCAT